TGCGTGCCCTGGCGCGCCCGTGCGCGCGGCATTGGCTGGCGGGCAGGCGCAGACTCCGGGCGCGCGCTCACGCACGCTCGCGCTTGCTCTCTTTCTAATGCAATGCCATTTCCATCAAAAACCCTTTACTCTGCACTTTTCGCCAGCGCCGCTTCATTGGTATTCACGCCGCGCCGCTCGCCTGTCCTGGCGCACAGGTTACTAAAGGAGATTTTGCGGCGCAGCGCGTCGGGGGTCACATTACAGCCCGCGCCGTCTCGCTTTCCCGAATCGCGGGGCAGGAGCCAGGGGACGGCGGGAGGGGGGTGCAGGATCTGGCACATCACAGCTCCCGCCAAGCAACCGCGGGACGAAGCAGCCCCGTCGCCTGTTGTACCGGGGCGAGGCGGGCTGGCAGGCAGGCAGCGGGGAGCTTTGCAGCAAACAGCGTGATGGTTGGCTCCCTGGGGACAGCCGGCAGGTCACCGGTGCTCTCCATCCTCCCCGGCAGCCCACCACGCCTGGTGCAAGGTGGGAGCAGCCAGCAAAGCGGGGTCTGAGCAGAGAGCGGGGCGCACGCTTGGCACTGACATCACCTTCGCCACCAGCGCCCGGATGAGTCCTGGGTGGCATCCACCGTGTCCCCGGCAGGACTGTGCCCCCAGGATGGCATCCTTGGGCGAGGAAGAAGCGGCGGCGCCTCTTGTTTCAGGGCTGGTTCGGGGAAAGGGGAAACGTCTGGGTGGAAAATCAACATTTCTCTCTCTGGGTTTTTTTTTTTCTTCCTTTGAAAGCAAAAATATTTCTTGGGTTTTCGTGATCAGAAACATGTTGGGGGTTTTTTTTGGACAACAGCCGGTCAAATACCGTTTCCCCGCGAAGGGAATGCAGGGGCCCTTTGCAAGGAGAGCAAAAGTCTTCTTAAAAAACAAGATAAAAACCCCAGTTTTTTAAAAAATCCACCTGGCCACGGACTTGAACAAACTCCTGGGGAGGAGGGGTCAGCAGGAGTGCCGGATCCTGGCATTCCCGTGCCAGGCAGCGCTGCCTAAGGGTGCCGTGGCCCCTCCTGGAGTGACGGCGGTGGCTGGGAGGGCGATGCCCACGGCGGGCAGCCCGAAGCCCACACCTGGGGATCTATTTTGCCCAATGCTGATTAGAGCTGGCTGCTGGCCGGGGAAGGGAGGATTAATGCGCTTTTAAAGCAGCGGCGAATTAACCGAGAAATCAATCCTTGGCAGGGGCTGGCCCGCGCGTCCCCCAGCGCGTGAGCGCTGCCGCACCTGGGCCGCGGGATCCTTTCCCAGCTCCTCTCCAGGACTTGGGAAGCGCCGGGCCTTGGCAGCCGGCGCAGGGCGTTGGGTCCTGGCCAAGCTGGCACAGCGCGGCGCGGCCACGGGGGATGCCTGCCAGGGCCGACGTGACGGACGGTGAGCCCAGCCGGCCGCCCGGGTGCGAGCCAGGCCCTGGGATGCCCACGGGGACCCTGTGCATCCCCACCCTGCAGCTGGCACTTCCTGGGGGTCTGTGTCCCCTCCCTGAGGGTGACACTGTCTCAGGGTGCCCAGCTGGCCAGGGCAGGGAGGGAGGCTGAGCTCAGGCTCTTGCCTGTGCCTATTTGGTGCATCCAAAGCCTCCAAAGTTGCCTTGGTACCCAAAACCCATCAGGGTTTGGCGCTGGGCAACTCTGGCCCCCTGCGAGGCTGTGCCTCTCTCGGGCTGAGCCCCACCAGCAGCCCGCAGCCATGCCGTGGGGACGTCACCAGTGATGCCACGCGGCGCCGGCCTGACCCGGCAGGGCTGAACACCCATCGATGCCCTGACCGCCCCCCATCACCTTTGTTGACCTGCCCGGCACACCCCGAGGTGCCGCGGGAGAAACCCCCGCCCCGCGGGTCCCCGAGGAGCAGATCATGCCCCTGCCACCCCGAGGCCCTGCCTGCATCCCCCAGCTTGGGTGCAGGGACTGGGAGGGATGGGAGCCCCCCTGGCCCCCTCCCGTGAGCACACAGCCCCCTCGGCGGTGCTCAGTACCGGCACCGCCATCCTTGCGCAGGAAGAGCCACAGCATGGCTGGGGGCGGCAGGCAGCGAGCCAGCCTTGCAGGGAGATATTTTGCCTCCCCCCCAGCCTTCCTTCTTCCCCTCCAGCAAGGGACCCCGGGAACGCTCCCCATCGCCACCACTGTCCCCATCCCTGCCATCGAGGGCTCAGCTTGTCCCTAGGACAGGTGCAGCCACGCCAGGAGTGATGGGGGGGGACGATGACGATGGGCACCCCTCGGGCTGTGGGGAAGTCTCCAGGGGCCAGGCACAGGGAAGGCTGGCACAGGCAGCACTGGGCAAAGAAAGCTGGCAAGCAGGCAGGGCAAGCCGTCCCTGTCCCTGGGGCCATCCTCGGCCAGCCCCGCAGCACGGCTCTCCTCCATCATCCCCAAAGGCAGGGGACACCGTCCCCCCCATTCCTTCTGGGTGCTAAACCCACCTCCAGGCCCTCCCCACCGCGCGCAGCCCTGGGCCGGGACGAATCTCTCACC